GCAGAAAGAAATTCAATGAAGGTATAACTGTGGAAAAGTACAACTATATCAAGAATGTAAACAGAAATAAAAATGACAGTATTCAATACACATCTTCTATTAATAACTTTAAACATTAACAGACTGAACTCCCCAGTTAAAAGACACAGACTATGTGAATGGATTAAGAAACAAAACCCATCTTTTTGTTGTCTGCAAGAAACTCATTTCACTTTCAAGGACAGACACTATCTCAAAGTGAAAGGATAGAAAAAAAATATACCAAGCAAATGGCACTAAGAAAAACGAAGGCATAGCAATTCTATTATCTGACAAAATAGACTTTAAAACTAATCAGAAGAGACAAAGAGGGACACTTCATTTTGATCAAAGGAACAATGAATCAAGAACATATTGCAATCATGAACATATATTCACTAAACTCTGGTGCACCCAATGTCATAAAAACAATACTACAGGACTTTAAGAAATAGATTAACTCCAACTCATTAATAGTAGGTGACTTCAATACCCCACAGTCTCCATTAGATAGGTCAACAGGGCAGAGAGTTAACAGAGAGACATCTGAATTAAACAATACCATGTATCAAATAGACTTCACAGACATATACCAAATATTCCACCCTAACACCAAAGGACATACTTTCTACTCAGCACCCAATGGAACCTTCTTCAAAATCAACCACATACTGGGGCACAAAACAAACCTCAACAAATACAAAAAGATTGAAATAATTCCATGTGTTCTATCAGACCACAATGCAATAAAGCTTACAATCAACACCCAAAGAAGCCCTAATCACCACATGAACACATGGAGATTAAACAACACACTCCTGAATGATGAATGGGTCAAAAGAGACATTAAGAAACAAATAAAAGTATTCCTGGAATTAAATGAAAAGGACAATACAACACTAAAAAACCTCTGGGACATGCTGAAAGCACTCCTTAGAGGGAAGTTTATAGCTCTAAGTGCCTACATCAAAAAATCGGAAAGAACACAAATAAATGACTTAACATTGCAACTCAATACACTTGAAAAGCAATAGCAAACCAAACTCAAACCCAGCAGACAAGAAGAAATAACAAAAATCACT